TTTGGGATTCCTATTTGGTTTTCAAATTCTTTTCACTCACCCAGGTTTCCTAGCTTTGATGTCTGCTTCTGTCTTTTGCAAGAAGACATCATTTTTTTGGTTTGGACTGGTTTGGCACCTTCCTTGCTTTTAATAATGATGATATTTGCATTTAATAATTAAGATCGAAGCATTCTTTTGCCAGTTTTCAGCTCAGGAACCCATACCTGGTGAGCATGCCCTTCTCACAGGACAGAGCCCGTGAACCGTGCAGCTAATCTCAGGCATGCCAGCTGTGAAAGAGCCTATGTAGAGCAGTCAGTCACCTGTGTGCCGACAGTGTGCAGGTCTGCCCTCCTCAGTCTAAGTTACTAGGCAGCAAGAAACAGACCAAAAAAGAAGGGCTTTGGACCATTGCTGTGCTTTCTGGCCAGCCTAAACTCTGTGTCCCATAAGGACACAGAAGAAAATATTTAATTATCTGCCAAGAAAGATGAACTGACTTATCCCTAGTGATCAATTGTGGGTTCCCTAGCCAGATATGGGATGATAGAGCATTGCTTATACCCCAGACATCTCTGAGACACAGCAGGTGTGAGGTTTCTCCCAATCCATATCAGTCTTGGGCCTACTCAACTCCATAAACACAAAGGCCTCATCAAGATAAAGTCTGTTAGGCTTCTGTTTTCCAGCCAGAGAACTGGCTTCTCAGAATTCCTGTGTCTGCTAATGTAGCCGATAGATTGGAAGGCTCCTGAGCCCAGTGCAGCATTTCTTTTTTTTTTTTTTTTAAAGATTTATTTATTTTTTTTATTTATGAGTACACTGTCGCTGTCTTCGGACACAACAGAAGAGGGCATCCAATCTCATTACAGATGGTTGTGAGCCACCATGTGGTTGCTGGGATTTGAACTCAGGACCTCTGGAAGAGCAGTCAGTGCTCTTAACCGCTGAGCCATCTCTCCAGCCCCCTAGTGCAGCATTTCTTATCTTGTTGTTTTCTCCTTCCCTCCCCACTGACTCTAGCTATAGAGGCTAGCCCCACTATTTCAATAACTGAGCTGTCCTCTGAGACAGCCTCTCAGGTTGGGTCACTCAGACCTACCATACTCACAGCTCCCTGAGATCCTGCTTCCCAGCTCCTCCACATCCGAAGACTGCTGGTGCCAATGAAGAACAGAGAAACCACAATCAACAGCCTCTAAGATAGGGCTGGCAGCATAGCCATCCGGTCTGTTTTACCCTCACCGCCAATTCAGTATGTGTTTTCACTCACCGGAGTCCTTTTTTTTTTTCCACAACAATAAACCCCCCCACAGGTCAAAAGTAGCCTCTGGTCCTCCAAAGGCTAGACATTACTAAAGTAAAAGCTGTTGACTACAGCTAGCCTGGTATGTTCAGTACAGCTGTGTAGGAGTCAGTTAGTGTTGTGTAAAGGACTAGGGATAGGCAGTCCAAATCTAGGTTCAGGGTTTGCTTCCTTCGTTCATTATTTTTATTTAGTTAACTTAAGGTTGAGGCTGGAGCCTTGGGGTATGACTGGACAATTCTAGGTGTGGTCTTTGTTGCTAAAGCCAGGAGGCCTTCCACCTGCTGGTACATGGCTGCTGCCCCCAACCGATCCCTTCCAGTGGCTTTCCGAGTTCATTCTGTGTTAGCCATAGCTCTTCTTAGTATTGCTTCTGAAGACTGCCCATTTCCCTCTGCCTGGAACATTTTCTCCCTAGGTGTCTTAGTTAGTTTCTATTGCTGTGATGAAACACCAGGACCAATTGGAACTTGGGGAGGAAAGGGTTTGTTCCAACTTACAGTTTCACAGCATACTCTTCACTGGGAGAAGTCAGGGCAGGAACTTGGAGGGAGGAGCTGATGCAGAGGTCGTGGAGGGATGCTGCTTACTGTCTTGCTCCTTATGGTTTGCCTAGCCCCTGCTTCCTTTTACAACCCCTAACCCACGGGGCCAAATGAACACAATGAACCCCTGGGGATTAGCTTTCCCAGAAGCTAATCTGGCAGGGGCATTTTCTCAATTGAGGTTCCCTCTTCTAAGTGGACATTAGCTTGACTCAAGTTGACATAAACCTAGCCAGCACACAAGGCCTCTATGGCCTCTGATCATAACATGATAGCAGACTCCCCCATTTCTTGATATAGTATAGCAGGTACAGCTGTTGACTTTGACAGCTCTTCTTCCAAAGGTGATAGAGGTCTAGACTTTGGGAGAAGTTGATAGCAGATTTCTGATTCTTATAGAAGGTAATAGATATTTTCATTTTCCCATTGCCTTAGTCAGAGTTTGTATTCCTGCACAAAACATCATGACCAAGAAGCAAGTTGGGGAGGAAAGGGTTTATTCAGCTTATACTTCCACATTGCTGTTCATCACCAAAGGAAGTTAGGGCAGGAACTCACACAGGGCAGGAACTTGGAGGCAGAAGCTGATGCAGAGGCCATGGAGGAATGCTGCTTACTGGCTTGCTTCCTCTGGCTTGCTCAGCTTGCTTTCTTATAAAACCCAGGACTACCAGCCCAGGAATGGCACCACCCATGATGGCCCTCCCACTCTTCATCACTAATTGAGAAAATGCTGCATCTCATAGAGGCATTTCCTCCAGGGAGGTTCCTTTCTCTGTGATAACTCCAGCTTGTGCCACTTGATACACAAAACCAGCCAGTACACCCATTCAATAAGCACATAGTGAGTGATGACCAGAGACTGGGCAGAAGCTAAGAACTATGGATAAAGTGGTAAAATAATAAGATAGACATTGTTTTTGGTCTCAGAACTTCACTAGAAAGGATCTTACAGAACTGAAGTTCCATGTGTCCAGATGTATTGAGTGAATAGTACATGTTACGTCATGTCTTAGGGGACATCAGTCAAAGACCAAGTAAAACTAGACAAGGCTCTTGCCTTCACGGAGCCTTCAGTGGACTGAGGGAACCATGATGTCACAGGCATTGATGGTGCTGTAGGAGTGGACACAAGGGGGTGTGGGATTAGCTGGATCAAGAGAGTCTTGCTTGAGGAAGTATCACTTCTATTGAGATTTGAAGAGAATAAGTTTGGTAATGAAGGGAAGGAACAAGTGTTTTGGGTGATCCAAACAGCATATGTGAAGACACTGTGAAGGAAAAATGGCGGACTGGAAGTCTTTAAGAGAGGTCAGTGTGGCTGCAGGAGTGTCCTGCACCTGATGGGTCTGAGAGATAGGCAGGACGTTGTATATCTGACACACACACTCAGTCAAAATCCTGCAGTGTGTTTTCTCTGTGGGTTTCTAGGCTAATGCCTTAGAGCACTTCGGCCATTACATGCTTGGGCCACGGAACCTAGCATCTAAGAGGCTCAAGGCAGCAGCAAGCAGAAACAAGACTGGTCAGCTGCTAGGGTGGCCACTGAAACCAATGGCCAGCTTCTTGCCACTTACTGTGATAGTGAAGGAAGACTAAGTTTTCATTTATTATTTATTTATCCTGAAGACATTTAAACATTTTTATTTGTATTATTGTGTATTTCTCATGGGTTACTTAGTGTTATGATGAAACGCCATGAGCAAAGCAACTCGGGGAGGAAAGGGTTGATTTGACTTACGCTTCCATATCACAGTTCTTCACCAAGGGAAGTCAGGACAGGGACTCAAACATGGCAGGAACCTGGAGGCAGGAGCTGATGCAGAGGCAATGGGTGTGTGTGTGTGGGGGGGGCAGAGTGCTGCTTACTGGCTTACTCTTCATGACTTGCTCAACCTGCTTTCTCATAAAACCCAGAACAACCTGCTCAAGGACGTCCCAACCCACAAAGGGCTGTGCTCGCCCCCATCCATCACTAATTAGGGAAGTACCTCTGAGAGCTAGGTCTTATGGAATAATTTTCTCAACTGAGGTTCCTTCCCTTAAGATAACTCTAGCTTGTGTGTCAAGTTGACATAATACTAGCCAGTACAATTGAATGATTTATATGATGTGTTTGCATGTGTGTTTGTGTGAATTGTATGCTTGTAAGTGCACATGTGTGTGTGTGTTTAGGTCAGTAGACACCTTGTGGGAGTTGGTTCTCTCCTTCTACCATGGGCCTAGTATGGAATTTGAAGTTATCAGGCTTTGGGGAAAAGTGGGAACGCACACATTTACCTTCTGATCCATCTTGTTGGCCCAAGAATATCTTTTCGGAGCCTTTGTTTTTAGAGTGCCCTGTTTGTCCACGGAACAGAGCAGAACGCTGATCTGGGAGCCCGTTCGCTCTTCATTTGCTGCCTTTGTGTTCTTCAGTATTAAATGGAAACAAAGATCTCTTCAGAGTCTGTACTGAGCACACTGCTTGACTCAGCAGCTGTTCATTAAATTATAGGTATTTTTATCTGTTAAATGAAGACAGCACTAGCCCTGGTTATTGGGATTCCGTGTCTCCCTCCTTCCTTCCCTTCCTCCTTTGTCCCCTCACTTTTTGTAGCCCTGGCTGGCCTGAAACTCGATATGTAGACCAGGCAGGCCTCTAATTTGTGTAAATCCAGTTTGTGCCTCCTGAATGCTGGATTAGAAATGCCTTAAAAAAAAAAAAAAGACAGGATCTTCGTTATGTATATTGGCGCAAAGCAGGGATCCTCCTGTGGCCATCCTTCCTAGTGCCAGGATTACAGCTTTGTTCCTCCAGTCCAGGTTGTGGAGTCTTACTGTTTTGGTAGCCAGAATCTTACTTTTCCTACTATTCATCAGCCCAGCGCAGGATAAATGCCTCGTGTATTCTGTTAAAGCGGCCTTGCACTTTTCTCTTGTTTGGGGCTGCTCATTTCTAGGTTTATAAGTGTTTTTCCCTTTGATAGTCTGCTGGCACCAGGCTGGGTGTCAGCCTGTGCGACCAAAGATCTCAGACTCAAGCACAGGGAACCGGCTAGGCGGACCAGCCAATCAGAAGAAATTTGGCCCTCTGCAGTTTCCGTCCGCTCACTAGGAGGCGCTGCGGAGGCCGCGGTGGCCCGGACTGTCGCGGGCTGGGGCGGTTGGTGGTGGCAGCTGCCGCCATGGAGTGGAGCTCGGAGTCAGCGGCCGTGCGGCGGCACCGCGGCACAGCGGAGCGTCGGGAGGGACAGGCGGCCGCGTCGCACCCGCAGAGAGAGGCCTCCACGCAGGAGGATGAGAGGGGCGGCGGGAGGATGCGGGGGAGGACGGAGAACGGCAGCGGGAGCCGGGGTGCGAAGACCGCGCTGTCCGAGGCGCGCACCGTGCTGGCGCTCGCACTCTACTTGCTCGCGCTGCGGGCGCTCGTGCAGCTGTCGCTGCAGCGGCTGGTGCTGAGCCGGACCTCGGGGCTCCAGGGCGAGTTCGACGCGCACCAAGCTAGGTACGGCCGATCGGCCCGGCCGCGAGTCCTCTGCGGCCCCAGGCGAGTGAGCCCCGGGTGGGGGAGCGCCGGGTCGGCCGGTCCCGCGCGGGTGAGCCCGGCGCCACTGTGCCCCAGGCAGGGGAGTCCGGCGCTGCTGTATGCAGAGTCCCGGGGTCCTTGGGCGCACGTCGGTGGGAAGTGGACTTGTCTTGCGCGTCCTTCTGGGGTCTGAATTGCGGGTACCCGGGGCTTGTCAGGCTCCCTCTTTCGCTTTCTCGGGGTGGCCAGATCGATCGAGTCTGCTTTATCATTCACTCTGTTCCTCCTGCAGATGATTGGTTGTTCACATGCTTCAGTCATCCATTCTCCTCTCTTCAACTTCCACTTTTTTACTTTGGTTAGTTCTCTGCATTTAATTAAAATGAGATGGAGAGTGAGGTTTTTGTGCCAGGGCTGCGTTACCAAGTCTTTCTGGGATGGTATTGGAAAGGATGTGGTGTGTGCTACCTTTCAGAGCACCACAGCCCACAAATCTGAAAACTGTGGAGGGAGACTCATCCACTCAGAATTATGCCTTTAATTTCTGAAGGTCACAGATGGTCTGAGGCTCTTCTGTACTACGGATTGTATAGGGTTCAACATTTTTACATTTTTTATTCTATTTATTTATTTTTCAAGACAAGGTTTCTCTGTGTAGCCCTGGCTGGAACTCGCTCTGTAGACCAGGCTGGCCTGTAACTCACTGAAATCCTTCTGTCTCTGTCTCTGTCTCTGTCTCTGTCTCTGTCTCTGTCTCTGTCTCTG